GAACTGCAGAACTGCAGTCAGCTGAAGTAGCCTGCAGTGCTGTATTTTAACCACTGTGCCACCTCGGCTCTTATAAGTGAAACTAACCTTTAGATGATCCTGTTAACTTCAACTGTTTTGAAGTTCATATTTGGGCGGGCTTTTTCAAGTATTGTGATTGGTTAAAGCCCTATGGGCCCAGAGTATAAATTACAGGGATTTGCCTGCTGTTCCTCAGTTCCAGTTTTGAGTCAATAAATGCTGTTGTATCTATGCTGGTCTGTTCTTGCCTACTGAAGCCCACTACACAATACCTCTTTGCTTTCAGATAGCCACAGTCCAAGGTTTATCAAGCCTCTGTCCATTTTAAATTGTTGATATCTATTTGATTTAGTGACTCAAAAGTATGGACCTGCTGTAACAAACATCACAAATGGATGAGGCTAGACACCTCTTTTTTTCTGGCTGTTCTCAGCTATGAGTGACAGTCAAATTTCTCCCTTGAGAACTTTAATTTGAATGTTGCCTTTCATTCCTAGGCTAGAGCCACTTAGCTCTGGCTGGCTGTTCTGGGAGTTAAACACAAACCAGTTTCTGAGAAGGGCAGGAAATAAGTCATTATAACATCTGGCTGCTTGAAAGAGGTGTTGCTGAGAACGGTGGTACTTGAGATTGACTAGAGCATTTGGGGGCGGATTCATAGCAAGATGATATCCCTCAAATACAATACCTGCCCCCCTGAGTACATGTTAGCAGACTTGGCCCAGATGTCTCTTTGTTTTCATAGAGGAAACTAATTGCCTTTCTTGTTTCCATCGCAGAAGTTTTTCTATCTTACTATCCAAATAATGGAAGACAGTTCTGAAAGTTTTCCAGGTGCTTCCTCTCCCCTAGTAGTGAAGAAGCTACCCCACCCCCCTCAACCTTTCATAGCTTCTGCAAAATGTGATCTCCTGAGAAATGCTGTCAGTTGTAACTGGCAATTAGTTTTTTTTTTCAAAGTAGAATATTTTACCTATTGTTTTACCCCATGATAGCTATATTTGAACTTGGTACTTCTCAGATATATTGTGCCATATGTATTTATTTCCCAAATTTCTCCGCTGCCAAATCATCTGGACTCATAGAGACTTACAAAATACAGTAATATTATACACAGTAAATTAGAGTTACACAATACCTCAGAAAAACAATTCAATAATATGACAAATAAATAGCATCCAAGTAAAAAAATGGTTAAAAGTAATTCCCAAAAGGCCCTCCACAAAAGAAGCTTTAAAAGCTTCTGGGAGGCCATCACAGAAGAGGCTAGGCTAATTTCTTGTTGGTGACTGTTTATAACATTGGTACTATGATGAAGACAGATGAGAACTGTAGTATAATATATTTCAAGAATCAGATTGGTGAATGCTATTTTAAAAGGAATTTGTAATTTAGCAACTTGACTTCATATATAGGCAGACCACCACAAAATACTTCAGTCATACTTCTCCTTCATTTTGTATTCAATCCTCATTTATCCAGCATCCATGTACCATATATAATATTTAAGCACATTACCATTCCATCCAACTTGTATGTTTCTCTTGACATACCCAGTTTTCACTTCCACATTATAAAGTGGGCCGAAGCAGCATCTTACACAGAGTTTTTACATGTTCTGTAAACTTTCTCAAACCAACTACTTTTTCATTACTTTTCTAACACTATTTGCATACTTTAAAATTTTTGTACCCATGCATCTACTTCCCATAATTTTTCATCATTTATATATTACTTCATTTTTCATTTACCTTGTCAAGCACAACTTGGATAAATTAATTTTCAAATTGTATCATATAGTTTAACTATAGATCATTCAGGTTCTCTGCAAGCAAAACTGCATATACATTAAGGTGACCAGACGTCAGGCTTTTGGCGGGGCACCCCCGCTTTTTGATACATTTTCCCGCGTCCCGCCCGCTTTTTCAAAAGGCACGCTTTTTTTGGCGCTTGCAGCTCCCGCCCATCAGCTGCTGGGCTGGCTCAGCGTTCTGTTCTATGCTCCCTACAAATTTAAGCCAGCCCAGCCTGCCATTCACTGATTTAATTGGCCTGGACTCCAGCCAATCAGTGAGCTGGTTGGGCAGCTCACTGATTGGCTGGAGTCCACTTAGCTTAGCACGCCTGCGCGAGCCTCCATTTCATTTCGTCTTTTGCTTGCAGCTGCGCTTACTCACTGGTGAGTAATCATGTTATAGATTGGTACCAGTGGGAATCGGGAGGCGCTATGGGGAGGAGACAGGCTTCTCCTCCTTCTCCCCGTTTGCGGAGTTCATTTCATCTCGTCGCGTTACAGCCAGCCCCTGTGCGCTGCACCGCCACGGGCGGCAGACGCTCCGGAACT